GGCTCCACCCCCAATGGGCGTGGTCAGTGCTACAGAAGGACTATCTCACTACACCACCCTCAACACAGGGTTTCACTATGTAGCTTTAAGTCTCAAACTGGGGACAAAAGGTTGAGGCGCCTATTTAACATGACAAAGTGGACCTGGCCTCCAGGTTCTCCCAGCATCCCTCAGTCCCTACCTGTTGCAGGGTATAGCTGATACATCCTGCCCCCTACCCTGAACTCTGTATCCCAGGGGCTGGGCTGCCTTTTCCCCCAGAGGCTCTTCCCTTTTCATCCAGACATTTTGGTTACCTCCCCCTTTTCTGGACCTTTGACCTCTTGGCTGTTATACCTGGTTCTCCTTTCTCCCTCCCTTCTTCCCCTCCCCCTCCCATGTGTCCCAGCTCCTCTGGTCTGGTCATGTCCACTCTGGAATTTCCCAGACATCCCTGCCTCTGACTATGCCCTCCCACATAGCTACAATTTCTCCTCCACCATACTTAGGAACAGTCTTGTCCTTTCCTTTTTATTTCTTTTTTCACTCGTAGCCTTGGCTGTCCTGGAATGGAACTCTCTGTAAACCAGGATGGCCTTAAACTCAGAGATTTGCCTGTCTCTGCCTCCTAAGTGTTGGGATTAAAGGCATGCACCACCACCATCCAGCTCTTTGTTTTGTTTGTTTGTTTGCTTGCTTGCTTGCTTTTAGTTAGGTAAGGTAGTGTACATCTTTAGTCACAGCACTCAGAGGCAGAGGCAGGCAGATTTTTGTGAGTTCAAGGCCAGCCTGGTCTACATAAAGAGGTCCAGGCTAGTCAGAGCTATAGAGCAAGACACTGTCACAGAGCAAACAAACGAAATCCTACATGGAAACACAGGGGACCCCCCAGGGCTCATCTCAGGATAAAGCCTCTCAGCCCCTTCTCCATGCTGCTTCTGGAGTCTCTTACAGAGGAAAGATTTGTCACATCCGGGTACTAGAAGTCCAAGGGATAGCAGCAGGAGTTTCTCAGTTAAGGTTCCCTCTTCCCAGATGACCCTAGCGTGTTTGCAAAATCAAACATTACCCAGCACAACTTTCTTGAGCCAATGGCATTTTCTGTTGCCAGGGGGCACATTTGTTGCTTATTTGTTTTTGTTTTTTGAGACAGGGTTTCTCTCTGTGTAACAGCCCTGGTTATCCTGGAACTCACTGTGTAGACCAGGAAACTCACAGATTCACTAGCCTTTGCTGCCAGAGTGTTGGGATTAAAGGTGTGAGCTCATTTTTTAAAATTATTACTATTAGTAATTCTTTAAAAATATGATAGTGGATGTTGTCAGGTCACCCAGAGTCTTCGGATCACTTTATACTCAGAGAAGAAACCCTGAAAATTCCCACTCAGGTCCTTATCTAAAGCTCCTTCCCCTGTCCTTTCTGATGGGCCATCCTCACGGCTGATTAAGATGCACTCTCCTAGAATGCTGAAGACCTCTGCTGTCTGAGTTTTCTAATCTCCTGGACTTTGTTGTGTTGTCCTCAGCATTATGCCTAGGGTCTTGTTTACAGCTGAATCAGAGAGGACATAGATAGTAAACATGCCCTCCTTCTTGGGGTGGGTCTGAAGATACTTGCTTTCAATTCCAGGCAGGGAAGTCATATTGCTGGGAGGGACAAGCAGAGAAGGCCTTGGAATCCTTTATATTTTGAGATAGTGTCTTGGGCCAGCTTCTCTAGCTCCTGGGACACCAGGCCCAACTTGTATTTTTAATGTGGAGATTTGTTTTAAGTATTTTTGCCTATCTACTTACCTCGAATACCATCAGTGTCCTCCATCTTATGTCCTTTATGTTAACTCATGAGCCAACATTTCCCTGAAGGAAGTTGTCTTTAGCCCTGCTAGGTGCTGCTAGCTGGGCCTCAGCCATGTGAGCAGCATACCCACAGCCACATTCAGCTCACACACCATCGTAGAACTCAAGGGAAGATGGTAACACAACTGCATTCAAGACTCATGGGCAATGGACCAATCTCTCCCATGTGTGAGGTCCTTGGCCAGAGCTGGACTTCCCTCAAGTGGTCACCAGGACTCAACCCTGATTGGAGGCAGAGGAAACACATTCCCATCTCAGCTTCCAAGTCTTCATACTTGGGCTGCAAATGGGAATTGATAGTTCCGGCCTCCAGATAGATATAGAGATCCATTGCGCCCCAGAACCTGCTGCATATGTCTATGAGCCACGGGCTCTCTCTGCAAGGGACTGTTCCTGCTTCTCAACCCTGGAAATTTGAGCATCTAGCTGCCACCATGACTTCAAGTCTGCTTCATTTAAATCCATGTGTTGATCTGTTTAAGGTGGTTTTATCCCATTGCTTCCAACCTACTCATAAACCACATCTCTTTTGATACACTATGCTGTTGTGCCCACTCCATTCTTGGGAGGGTGGAACAAGAACCACCAGCCCCCATTAACAGCTTTCTAGTACGCATTAACCAAATCCCATGCCCTATAGCAAGTCTCTAGACCTCAAACCGTTTTTGAGACAGGGTTTTCTATAGCCCTGGCTGGTCTTGAACTTGCTAAGTAGCTGAGAATGACCTGGAGCCCCAACCTTACCTTCTCTACCTATAGGTACATGTTATCATTTGTTTGTTGAGATAGAGTCTTAATCCGCATGCCAGTCACCCTCAAATTCTTGTGATTCTCCTGCTCCAACATCCCTGTTGCTGGAATTATGGACCTAGGCCACCACACTTGATTTATCTGAAACCTTGACTGGCATTTCCCCATGTCTTTCCTCCACCTACAAGCTCTGGTGTAAGAGTTTACTATTTCTCCTTTTGTTTGTTTGTTTAAACTTGTGATAAGATAGATATGTTGATTGGATGCTTGCTTCTTCTTGGGTGGTCACTTACCTGGAAACACTTGCCTGAGTCAGAGGAGAAAGTTAGATGGGAAGCAATCCTTTCTCCTGGGGAGGGTCTGAAGACCTTGCTCACACCTTCAGCTAAGCATTAACCGTGCTGCTGAGAGGAATAGACAGAGAAGGCCTTTTAGGATTATATTCCTAAAGTCCCTGGGGCTTTTTGAAAAGGTAATAGGTTTTTGTGGTAGAGTAGTGTTAAAGGCCCTGGGCCCTTTCTCCAACACTACAAAATAAAACATATCAAAGTGTTTTGTGGCCAGTTGGTGGTGGCACATGCCTTTAATCTCAGGAGAGGCAGAGGCAGGAGGATATCTGTGACTTCAAAGCCAGCCTGGTCTACAAAGTGAGTTCCAGGATAGCCAAGGCTGTTACACAGAAACCCCGTTTAAAAAAGAAAGAAGAAAGAAAGAAAGAAAGAAAGGAGAAATAAAGTTGTGTTGTGCCCTGAGAGGGGGACAGACTGGCAACAAATATTCTTCAGGGCTGGGGCACAGGTCAGGGCAGTGTACTTGCCGAGCATATAAGGGCCTAGAATCTATCCCTAGCATTGCTAAACAAAACTAAGAACTACTATCATCACTCAGAACTCCACTTTGTAGAGGCAGAACTACAGGCATGAAATGGTGGGAAAGGATCTAAACAGATTAGACTCTGAAAAGCCTTGAGTTGCTAGCATGGCCACAGACACATGTTGGCTTGGGATGTACCTGAGAACAAAGTAAGAGCCCTAACATCCAATCCATCCATAGGTTAGTTTAAGGGATTCCCAGTTTATAAGGAATGCCCTAGCCCTTGAGATTGGGAGCAGCAGCCAGAGGCAAAATTCTAGTCTCTGTTAGGCAGTGTTCTGTTTGTTTGTTGTTTGGTTTTTGAGACAAGGCTACCTGAGTAGGCAATCCAAGCTGGCCTCAAACTTGCTATATCGACAAGGAGGACCTTGAACTTCTGGTCCTCTGTCTCCACCTCCAAGGTTCTGAGATTTCAGGTATGTGCCACCACACCCAGTATATATATATATACGCCTTCTGACTGAATCCAAGGCTTCCTGGAAGCCAGGTAAGCATGCTACCAACTGAGATGTGCAGTGTCAGGCCCAGGAACTGAATCCAGGTGCCCATGACTTCATTGCCAGTCTCCCAGAGGTTGAATATGGGAAAGATGCCCACCCCCCAAGTTCAAATATCAGGGATACATCTGATCTTCTTTATCTTTTTTGGTTGGCAAGCAGGGGTGTGCAGCCTTCACATACCTGCAAAAGAAAAATCGGAAGCTAAAAACCATGTGGGTTTTAGATAGGTTTTGTTTTAATCTTAAAAGAATTTTAGGGCAGGTAAGATGGCTCAACTGCTAAATCGCCTGCCATGTAAGGCTGATGACTTGAGTTCAACTCCTAAACCCACAGAAAGGTAGAGGAGAACCCACTCCATAAAGTTGACCTCTAACCTCCACACATATGGGCTCTGCCCCTCCACACATGCCCCTAGTAAAATTATTATTATGCATGTTCTTATGTGCCTGTGGGGTGGGCATGCATGCCAAGGCACACATGTAGAGGTCAGAAGGCAACCTGTGGAGTCATTTCTCTCCATGTTAACATGGGTTCCAGAGACTGAATTCAGGTCAACAGACTTGTATAGAAAGTCTTGACTCAGGGAACCATCTCTCTTACCTGTGCAATGGTTCTGTTTTTGGATGTTTCGCTATCTAGTCTAGGCTGACCTTGAACTCATAATCCCCCTGCCTCTGCCTCCTTAGTGCTGAGTTACAAGTGTGCCCCATAATACTGGGTACTGGGGTTAGTTAGATTCTATTTTTTTTTTTTTTTTTTTTTTGTGAGCCAAGGTCTCTTGTAGACTAGGCTACCCCTAAACCCATTATGTAGCTGACTGAGGATGACCTTGAACTTCTTTCTGGTCATACTGCCTCTACTGCCCAAGTACTGAGATTACAGGTGTGTGTCATGGCGCTGAGTTTTGTGGTGCTGGGATTGAATGCAGGACTTGGCTCATGTAGGCAAGCTCCAACCTTGGAGGAACAGCTAATTCCAGAAGCTCTGGTCTCTAGTGCATGAAAGGCAGGAGAGAGCAATCTCAGGGGATGGAGAAGCAGGATTTAACGTCATCATATTTATTACGTCCTTGAACAATACACGCTCACACCCTTTTGAGGACAGTACATTTGGCACAATAATGTGTACAATGAATTATGACACTAATGGATTAAAGTCACATCCAGAAAGGAAGGGGGAAATGTACAAAGAAAGCTTCACAATACAAAATAAAACTCCTAAAATTGAACACGTTTTCTATTTAGCCAGAACTATCTCGCACATCATTTTAAAAGAGGTAATGTTTTTAAGCCTTCTTTTGTTTTAAAGCAAGAATGAATTGTGTTTTCACCTTTGGAAGAAAAAAAAGTATGTTTCTACTTCACAAAGTCCATCAATGAGAGGAAGGGAGAAGATACTATCCTTCATGTAGGTTTGTGGCTTTTTTTTTTTCCCCACTTTTTGTTTTCCTCTAAAAGAAAGAGAGTGAGCGTTGAAAAGAGAAGGAACTGGCAGAAATTTATCAGTGTGGTCATCCCCTGTCTTTGCTCTTCTCTGTTATACTGGAGCCTGAGCACAGAGCTCTACACCAGCTAGGCAAGAGTTCTACCACTGAGCCACATAGTGCTGAGTTCTTCCTGAAAGGACTCCGTACACATCCTACACAAGTGTAGGTCTCCCCTGGATTCAAGCCTGCCAGTGTGAGAACTGCATTGGCCATAGGCATCTCAACCTGCCGGTTATGGGCACCGAAAGGGAGCCAGGGGGCTGACTGCCTACTGCTCGCTGGTGGAATGTATTGTTTGATTTCCCAGCAACAGTGCTGGTTGGCCAGGAGGAAGCACCTAGCCCCCACTGTCATGTGCCCTGGAAAACAGCCACTTGATATTGGCCTTGGCTTTCCAACATTCACAACAGTAAAGGAAGCCGGGGAGGGAAGGAGGGAGAGAGGGAGAGGGAGAGAGAGAGACAGAGAGAGAGAGAGAGAGAGAGAGAGAGAGAGAGAGAGAGAGAAAGAAATTGAGTATATCTGAGTATGAGGGCGTATTATCATGTTTTTCTAAACAATGAGATGATACCACCATGAAGATATTTCTGTGCTTGTTACCACTCCAAAAGATAGTCCTCCCCCAGTATGTCAAGTCACTGAAGATAAATTAAATTAACCTAGTGTTCTTCATCACTTCCCTGGTATGCCAAACATACAGATCAATACAGCATAGTATTTAATATTTGCAATCATCATAAGAACAGATCACAGTTACACCTGAGTTTTTTCATTAAAAAAAAAAAAAAAAGCAGAAGAGAACTGAAGGTCACCATCAGTAACGAGGGCTGTGACCAGCCAGATGCAAATAGGGACATGTTGAGTATGGGCTCAAAATAGTCACTGTCTGAGCTTGGCAACCACTATGGAGAACATTCCTCTCCATCTGCCATCTCTATCAGGGCGTGATGGAGCTCAGGAGAACCAAGTGCGAATTTAATATAGCTCATCATCATATGGTTACATCTTCAACCCAAGAGGAAATAAACAACATAAAGGACCCCAGCCCTCCCTAGGAAAAAGCATACCTCTCTCTCAGTAACTTGAACCAATAGCTGATAGGAGGGTCGCACCTGGACATTATTATAGTTATTCTTTCATTGACTAAAGTTTTATAAGATGCCAGAACATGCAGCAGTTGATACCTCTATATTCAATGAATTAATTCCACAGGCCTTGCAGCAAACATTATATACAAAAAAAAAGAAAAAAAAGAAAAATCTTAAATGTACAAAAGGCAAAAAGCTTCATTAATGCCACTCACTATATATATATATATATATATATATATATATATATATATATATATATATTTGGGGGCAATTGGGAAATCCACGTGCAACAGTTGGAATGGATTCCATTCCCTGCTAAATAAGTTCAGTAAAATAGGTAATCAAATAACCTTCAGAGAACATATACACAAAGCCACAGAGAACCCTTAGGAGTCAAAGACTAACACTGTCACCATATCTACAGGAGGTAACATCAGTCCATTAAATAGAGTCCATGTGAGTTGCCATCGCATGTCACCAAAACTCTGGCCACATCCCACTACCTTGTCAGTCTTCAAATCCCTTGCTCATCAGTCTCCTGACACCTTCTGCCTGACCCAGGCTGAGTTTCCTTCCAGTACTTCATTTTACATACTGAGTGTTTCAAGCCACAAGTGGTACTACCATTTTTTGTAGAAGTGCACAGAAAATAGAGTTTATACTGGGAACTTGGGAGAAAAAAATACTTGGAGAGAGAATATGGGGGTGGAATTTTTCTGGAACCTCAGGGTCTTGGCTGTTGCTCTGGTGGCCTTTGTGCTCAGGGAGAATTCTGACGATTAGAAGCCAGAGTTTCCACTGCTGTCTTTGCATAGCCCTCATGTATCACTAAAGCATTACTAATAAACTTTGGATGACTGGATTCTCGCTGTGGATTAGCCCTTTAATATCTACCTGCATTCACACTGGGATGTCTATCTTTTGGCCAATTAGAAAGTGAACTTGGTAACAGTTTTTTTGTTTGTTTGTTTTGAAATGTTAAGAGTTCAAAATGAAAATGATTTCTTCCATGAGATACAAACGTACATAACTTTGGCATGCTCAAAAAAGCTAAAACCAAAGCAAGCAGGGATGTGCAATTCCAGAGCAAACGGACACAATTGGCCAGCCTGAGCATCCCCAGGCTCCTCCCATCAAGGGGGATGCCTTCGGGCACCGTCCTTATGTGGAAGAAGTACCAGTCTCTTGTCCTATGTAGAAGGGCAGGGATGGCAGGCTGGGGAACAGGAGGAAGGAGAAAAGAGTCAGGGTTCCATATCCAGTGGCAGAGCCAGAATCTTTGCGTTGGGTTGGTTGGTTTGGTTTTCCTTTGTAATAAAAGAACCGAAGTTGCTTTAGGGTTGTGGATGGACAACAGACAATCCAATCCAGCACTGCACACAGCTACCCACAGAGCAGACACCATTCAAATCATCTGTGTTCCTGATTGAGTCTAGACCCATGAGTGCCTTCTGGTCACTGGGAGGGTGGGGAAGGACATGGCCGGGGTGAGGGATTGCAATAAATAGAGTGGACATGGGGCTGGGGCTCTGGGGTGGAGGAATGGTTTGAGACCTTCTGAGCCTCTGCAACATGGGATTTTTCTCAGCATCCTCCTTGAAGCTTCAGCTAACTCCCCCTGAAGCAGCTTCTCAGGGCATCAGGTCTTCGCCAAAGTAGGAGAAGCCTTTGAATTCTTCCTGGTTGATCTGTTTCACGATTGCTTCATCCACAAGCGTAAGTATCGGCTCTTCCCGGGTAAAGTCTTGGTCAAAGTTATTGACATCTCTTTTGGTTTTCTGTGGAAACAAAAGAGAAGCTGTTGAGTTGAAGTTTGACTTCCTCTTGAGGGAACTTCCCCCACCCCCCTCCCACATGGAGACTGGGCATCAAGATGACCAGCCTCTCACCAGAGCGAGTGAGCCTCTAGCTACTGGGAGCAAATACGGGCTGTTCCAATGAGGTAATAATGGATGGCCCCAGGACCCAGAGGTGAAGAGGAGAGCAAGAATGAGTAAGGTGAGAAGGAAGAGGGTGCGTGAGTATGATGGAAAAGCAGGGAAGTGGGATTTCCACAGGCTCTGTGTGTGTGTGTGTGTGTGTGTGTGTGTGTGTGTGTGAGTGATGTGTAGTGGGATGCACAGCTTCCATTTCATATCCCCTTGTAGAATCTGCTGAAACTGTCCATTTCCATAAAGACAGTCTTTGTTGTACCCAGGGGACAAACAAACCCATCTGCCCAAAGTCTCCAGTGGTTTTTTTCTTCCCACAGAGACAGACCTGATAGTGTTGCCATATCTGCTTCATATGACCTCTCTAAGTAGAAGGATGGGCCACCAGTAGGACACAGAGACACCTTCTTTGACACCCATCTGCCCTCATCATTACCTCACTTTATGGTTCCATGGCTTGGCCATTATTACAATGTTGACTCAACACACAGGCTTGCTGTGTTTTCATATTTTTGTGTAGGTCAGTGTGGTTCTTAATCTGTGTGAGTGTTTTTGTGTGTGTGAGAGAGACACCCTTTAATGGGGGTCACCTAAGATCATTGGAACACACAGATATTTACTTTAGGATTCATAACAGTAGCAAAAAATTACAATTATGAATTTTATGGCCAGGCAGTGATGGCGAACACCTTTAATCCCAGCACTTGGGAGACAGGGGCAGGCAGATCTCTGTGAGTTTAAGGCCAGCCTGGTCTATAGAGTCAGTTCTAGGACTGGCTCCATCTACTGGGAAACCCTGTCTTGAAAAACAAACAAACAAACAAACAAATAAATAAATAAATAAATGGTTTTATGGTTCGGGTCACCACTACATGAGGAACTGTATTAAAGGGTCACAGCACTAGGAAGGTTGAGGACCACTGTTCTAGAATGTAAAGTCCTTTTTGTGGTCAATTTTAGGTAGCTGGCAGTTCTGCCATAATAAATAAGCATCTACTGAATTAAGTCAGAAGACCTATGACGACTTATTCCCCAGTTCAGAAGGACAAGCCAGCTACACATTCAAGCTCCCAGAGGAAATATATGTGGCTTCTGATTTCTAGGGCTTGGGTAGAGGGCAGAAATCAAGAAACCTATGTATTCTGGTTTGGGGAGAGGATCAGGAAGTGTCAACAATGCCCTAAAAGGATTGCAGACGTGTAAGAGAGCCAAGTGTGCTTCTCTGGGATGTTCTATTTTAGCTACAACTACAACTTCCACAGAGAAGTTGGGGTTTGGCTAAGACCTGAAGAACCCTTTATAGTGTGGTGGTATAGACGTGAGGAAGGTGAGATAAAGCAGAGTTCAAGAACATACAACACGTATGCACAGAACAACGGGTCTGTCAAGTTGCCTGGGCTAGAGCCCAGTGAGGGACGGCCAGGAGGTAAGGCTGGAGTCTGAACACAGAGGCCTTCAATGCCAAGCCCACAGTACAGTGGAGAGGCTGGAGGCCCTCTGGCAGTGACCTTTTGGACACTGGTCAACTGGTTAGTGGCCTAGATGATGGGATATACCTTATAAAAAATTAGTCATTATTTAAAGGATGATAAATAATGAAATATGCCATTCTCAATGGAAGTCTATAACCTTAAAGGGGGAATAAGTAGTCTATGAAAAAAAGTATTTTTGAGACAAAGCTGTATGTTGCATCTATGTTTGGACAGTTACCATGCATGTGAACAGATTCACATCTCTGAAAAATCCTAGAGGAAAGAAACCTGGTCCTGTTTTGCTTAAGCAAGACTTCTTCAAACTTGACATGAAACTTTCCATCCCGAGCTCCTGAATGATGTATTTAAGACTTTGCCGAGAGGAAAATTCTACAGGGAAGTTGGGAGATACTGTTCCAGAACTTTCCAACACATCTTCACAGTCATTTACTCATTTGATCCTTGGGCTAGGCAAGGATTCCAATTCCGGTTTTATAGTGGAGGCATTTGTGGCTCAGAGGGGCTTGGTGACTAGGCTGGGCTTGCCCAACTAGGAATGAGCCAGACTCACATCCATGTCTCAACATGATGCCTCCTCCCCTAGTAGAACTTATGGATCTGTGAATCCTGCAGAAATGGGATGGCATGTATGATAAGGGTCAAGTCCAACCAGGAGAAACATTTTTAGAACAATCCAATAGGCTTTTTTTTTGGGGGGGGGGAGGAAGCCAGAAGGGCCTGGCACAGGCAAACAGGTGATAGTTGGAAATCATAGTGAGAGGGTGTAGAGCTGGCAGAGGAGCCAGCCCAATGACCCAGAGTAGACATAATGATGGGCAGGAAGGAACAGGGATGAGTGAGTCTTCTCTGTCCTTAGCACAGTGAGTCCTGACTGATGCTGTCTCTTTGGTCTTGAGCTGCAGAGTTCGGGTCTCAGAGACTGTGAGGGAGGACAGAGATGACAAAGAGGATGCAAGAAATGCCCAGAAACACCATCTGTGACTGGGGATGTCTGTGGTCCCTTTGGCAGGGGACCTCAGACACAGTGTGATCATCTCCAACAGGAAGGCTGGCCTGGGGCAGGACTAGCTGTTCTCTTTCTGGGGTTTCAGAGCCAGAGGAATGGAGGACCCAAGTAAAGAGCTGCTTCAGAGATGGACAACAAAGCTGGTCCTCAGGGTGATGCAAGCTGGCTGTGGGGCAATGGTGGCTGGGGAAGAGAGCATGGCAGCAGCTCTTCTGGGCACTCTCTGTGGAAGGGGTCATAGATTTAAAGGATGGGGAGGGCTGTGCCAGGTGAAGGCTTGGCCAAAGGGAATTTGGGAGGTGGAAAAGTAGTGGCAACAACTTGTAAAGTACCAGGCATTGTACAAAGGGCAACCATGTAGCACACACTCTGGTGGCCAGAGTGAAGGGTTCCCAGAGGAGGGGCAAAGATCCACAGAATAGAGTGGGAGGGAAGATCCATTTGGGGCATAGCTAAGGATAAGCTGAGATTCCAGGGCAGGGACACCTCTGTCCCTGTCCAACCTTTCAACTAGCCACCAAGGGAGGCAGGGTGTATATAAAGAACCTCAGATAACCCATTCACTCTTTGGCATTGGCTGTCCTTGTTTACTTAATTGCTCATATTTCATCAGCTGGTCATCAGTGACTGGCGGATTAATGCTCGTTAGTCATAGAAACTGGTTTGTTGCCTCGAGGTCAGCTGGGCACAATAATGGAGCCAGAGTCTACAGTGTGTTCATGCTTTACAACTCACTGGTTATGTGCTTTGAGAATCAGACTCTGCTGCTGTATCTAGAGATGGTTCCATCATTGGCTAACTTGGAGAGTTGTTTAGCTCAGTTCTGGGTTTCTCAGGGCAATCCCAGAATCACAGGAGAACATGCCATTTCCACCTCGTACAGGTCATTTAGGAATACTGTTGGGTGTCAAACCCATATCTTGCACATGACACTCAGGCACTCTACCATCGAGCCACATCTCCATATGAGGATGCTGCCATCTCTGTTGACCTCTATGGACTGGTCACAGTTCCTTCCTTGTACAACTTGACTCCTGGCCCTATTTTTCTTGGAGACATTTTAGGTGTACATTAGTTGTCCATTTCCAACTTAAATAGATAATATCCCTGTGGGATGCAGTTCCTGACTGTTGGAGACTGGAAACTTGGGATGTTTTTTCAAAGCACCCTCTTCCCCTATCACTGCCATACAGGCAGCATAACATCACCCCAAATGGAAATGACTGAGATGGTCTCCTTCACTCACTAATTTTATTCTTTTCATGACTTCTGCCTTCTTCACAGTACACCCAAGACTCAACTTCATGGTTCAAACTCAGACTTTCAGAGATGTTGCCTGCTTTGTTCTTAGTCAGTCCATATGCCTTCCCAATGCTCACACTGTGCAGTCCAAGAAGTGTCACTGGACACACGTAGCATCATTCTGACTCCACAGACCTTATCTCCTCTATACAGTCTTTCCAAGAACCTCTGAGCCACACTCAGGGAAGGATGCATGGAGAAAAACAAAGACCATTGTCCTTGACATTGCCCTCCCCTGCTTATAGGACACTGATGCTAAGCTGTGTGGGCACTGTCTATCTGTCTACAAAATTGCGGTGGTGACAATGTCTTACAGGATGCCAGATGTATTGGGTGAGCACCTGATAGCTGTGGGTACCATGAGCCATGGGCCCACATCACATACCTCTCAGGTATATCCATGCAGTAAGCCACTGATGAGCATCTTGGAACTATCCTCCATTTCTCTCTTTGACTCCAAATCCTAGGCTGATGTTCCCCTGGGACTTGCCTGAATGTTCCAGCACTTTATTCACTGATCTAGATTCTTCTATGGTGCCTTCCAACTCTGAGAGCCAATTCTTGCTCACTTCTAAGGCCTATAAGATCCTAACCCTGTGTACCCTGGGTTAGGGTAATATCTGGGCACTGCTGACCTATAAGATACTCCACACTCACATGGCTTCTTCTTGCCTTCGTCCTTTGCATAGCTTACACCCTGCCTGGAGCACATCCTCCCTTCTTTGCTTGTAGTTCTCATCTGTTTCTCTTTCCCATCTCAGTGTAAATGCCCTTCCTTCAGGAAGCCTTGCTTGTCCCCTGTCCCCTGCAAGTGGTCAGAGAGGAGTCTATTCTCCATTCTTACATACCATGGGCCTCCCTATACAAGCAGGAATGGGCCTGAACTCATTCCATCCTCAGCACCATGCCTGTCATATTGACATCTGCTAGAAGAAATGAACGAGCCTCTCCTGTATCTAAGTGACCTGGAGTTTGGGCCAATGGCTGCCATTCTGCCACAGGGGTTTGTCCGATGGGGAAGTGGAGGTGGGAGTGGGGTGGAAGCT